AATTTATAAATATTCAAAGAGATATTCAAAGTACACACTTGAACAATATGAGATAGAAAGATATATTACAAAGCTAGGTAACGTTAGTACCATTTTTTTTGCATTCTGCGAAGTTTAATTTTGTAAAATTTTTGTTATGGCATTCTCCTGTTTTTGAAAAGACCGGATTTATTTTAATAGTGAAACTTATTCATATATATTTTAGAGCATGTGTCCAAATGTGCATTTCGGATCAAAGGCTTAGGCTTCATATTTGAAAAATAACCTGTTCTTCGACATACTATTTGTATTACCGCTTATATAAAAAAAATTATAAATTATTTTTCATAATAACCCTGTACATGGCAATTGATTATTGTTGATTTTTTTCAATAAGAAAATATTATGAGTCAAACAGGGTAAAGTAATTTTAATTTTATATTTATTATTCTACTGTATTAAGATCCTACTACCTTTTCTACGTGGAACATTTTATTTTTTTTTTTCGCTTTTCAATTTAATATTTCATTTTCTATCGTCTATAATAATTTAATAACAGTTTTAATGTTATGGGTTCCGTTAAAAAAAACCGAAGAATTATGAATAGAAACAAAATATTATGACAGAAAGCATAACACACAACAATTCAAATTATTAAAATGCCGTGAGCTATGCTTTTTACAATATGATTTTTTAATGTATACAGTATGTTTAATTGAGAGGGGTGAGGAGTCAAGGGTTGTTGAAGGCAGTACAGTTTTTCATATATATATATTTTTTTGCATTAAGAGTAAAATACAATTTTATTTTGTTTATTATTATGTACACTTTTGCGTTGGGCGCTGGCTTATCTTTAAATAAATTTTATACCTTAAAGTCTTCCATCAAAATTAACAACTGCTATCATTAATCATCTGTTGTTCGCGTTTAGACGAATTTAAAGAAATGAAAGAGCAACAACTTTATATATACATATTTAAATAATAAAATAAAAAAATTTATTATATTTTATGTATATATGGTAAAGGTAAAGGTAAGCATAAAAAATTATAGCCGGTTTGTACAAATGTACGCGTATAGAAAATTTAGGTTAAGCGATGCCATCACATTCGTATTTTTAAATTTTTGATTGTTTCGGGAAATTTATTTGAAAATTTTCGTTTTTGTTCGTTTTTTTTTTGTTCTTTTTCGTTTTCATATTAATGTACATATATTTAAGAAACATGAATTAAGCATTTTGCTAATCATAATCATTTCGTACAATATTTTATGATTATGGAATGTCGGTTTTATTTGTACATAATAGAAGAGAAAGAAAATTGTATTTTTCGTGTTTGTGCTTATGAATAAATGAGTGAATACGACGACCAGAGAGAAATAAACTTTAAATATTACTTCTAGTATTGCAAAAATAATTATTATGAACACGCAAATATGTCCAGCGAAAAATTATAAAAAGAATGCGGAATTATGCGAGATTAGAAAAAAAAAATGGTTAGGAAAATTTAATAAATGATTTGAAAAATACTCGAAATTTTACCTACTGTATACACAGTTGAAAAGTGCTCACAAATTGAGAAGAAAAATATTATAATGCCATTGGTTCCCGTATTCCTCAATAAATATAAAAAAGCATTATGAGAAATCTTGGCTATTATTTTAAAGTTTAAACGATTTCTTTTTTCCTTTTCTTTCTAAATTTTAATTTTAATCATTTGAATGGATATTAATTGGTGGTTTATGAAAAATCATTAATTATTTTTGAAAAAATTATTGTTAATTTATAAAGAAATTTTGATTTACTTTTTATGATTATTTTAAATTATACTTGATATTTAATAAAGGATTTTAAGTATATAGTGTTGGCTTTTTTTTGCTTTTCCTAAGATTTATGTTTGATATTAAGTGTGTAGAACAGAAATTCGGGATACTAATATAAAATATGAGGAATATGACGAATATATTGTTAAATTAAAATGAGTAATTGATATATTTTTAATTAAATCATATACTCGTAATCGCAAAATAAGTGAACCTTCAATAAGTTCAGTAGCGTATTTCTAATGTTCTATGGGGAGACTTACAACTTTTTTTTCGTATGAATTTCTTACTTAAAAATCTAGTAATTTTTATTAATAGAAATAAAAATTATTAATATTAATATAAATAATAATCTAGTATGTAATTTTTATTACATTTATTCAAATATTTCTAATAAAATTTTCTTTAAAATTATTTTTTTTTAATAAACCTTAAAAATTTTTGAGTTTCTACGAAAAAAAGTATTTTTTTTTTGAAATTTTTTAACTTACTTAAAATAATCGATTTTACATTTTTTAAAATATATTTTCATTGTTGGTTTTATAGGGTAAATTTTAATATTTCCTCACTGTCCTGCTCATTTATCCTGCAATTACGAAAAAATTATTTTCAATAATATTTCAAATTATTTTCAATAAAATCAGCCGGGCTGACTGATTTAAGCCAGATTTTTGGATGTTTCTTAGTGCTTTATAAAAAAAAATAAATTACAGTTCCCCGAAAAAGTTTAATTTAAGCTTCCGGTTTTGAAATGAAGTGGAGTGCACCTAAAGAAATTGCATATATGAATAGTGATCGAAATTTATTTCGTGCAATTTAACCCGGGGGCAACGTTATAAGTTTAATTTGCTTTAATAATTAACAATTTTTTCTACATGAAAACAGAATTTTCAAGAGGAAAAATGAGTTAAAAGACCTATAATTGGTTCTTTTACCCTATAAAATTTTTGATATTCTGATTATTGTTATTATTATGGAAATTTAATTAAATATTTGTGCAATGCTTATAATATAATATTGAGTTATAAAAAAAAAATGACAAGTTGCAATCAACCATCAGGTTGTTTTTGTTATCTTATCTTCATAAAATACAGAAATGGCTTTGTGTTTATAATTATTATTATTATTAAAATAAATTTATTATTAAATTTTGATTGATTAAGAAATTTGGAGTTTGTTACTCGCCTTTGCTATTTATTTTGATGATCAAAATAATGAAAACAAAGGATTATTATATCAAGAATTTTTGTAATTTTAAGAAACTTCCGTGGAAATTGGATTGAAATAAGAAATCAATTTGTTTTCTAAAATTTTAATTATTAAAAATTCTTGCGTGTTTTGTTAATATTGTACATGAAATGATTTTAAATAATCTAGGATCTGGGGTTATTATGCAAATAAATATTACACGAAAGAGCAGAAAAAATTGTCATTTAGTAGCAAAAATGCGACAAATCAGACTGCCAAGCAAAATCGGCATCATTTTTAATGAAGAAGAATCATCATCTCTTTCTCCAGGATGAAGGGTAGAAATTAAGTGTGGAGTTTTTAATTAATTGTAAATCTGTGTAAATCACAAAAAATAAGTTAATGAATATTTTATTATAGTTTCCAATAATGGCATATAGTTTGTTTACGCCTATTCTTGGAATTCTACTCTCCAATTACTCTTTCTATATTTAATTATTAATTTTATACACATAGTTAGTTATTTTAATTTACAAAATTATCTTCAAAATTACTTATATAAAAATCAGCATGATTTTGATGCGATGACACATTTAAAATTGATGAACATGTGATCAATATTATATAGACTTTTTAGACTTTATAATCTAATATACATACATTACATACATACGAATAATTTTTTTCACAATAGATTTCAAAAGTTCTAAAAATTTCCCATATTAGTTCTAGTATTCCCATATTTTCAAATACGCATACAAAATAATATTTTAGTACAATAAAAATAAAATTTACCTTTATACTCTACACTATAGTTTTGGGGCAAACAAAGCAGACAAATATTTTAACGTTTGAATTCGTTTAACTTAGTTTTGCACTAACACCTGAACCCAATTTCTACAAAACTTAATAAAAATGTATGCACAATACTTATACATATATATAAGGTTTTTGGATAATTATGCTACGTATGTATTTAAGGGAAAATAAATCACAATAATTCGTATTCTAAGTACGCTTACACCTTTGCTATTGATTACTTTTAAATGTAGAAAAAAAAAATTATTATTTTTAATGTGTGACATTTTATGTACATTTTCTTCTTGTCACTTATCGTTAACTTAGTATGTGTGTATAAGTACGAAAAATACATTGCTAAAAAGATGTTATAAGATAAAATTATGCTATTGTAGAAGTGCATATGGGAAATTATAAAGGTGATGATTATATGTGATCGTAACTGATAAGATAAAAAATAAAATAAAATTAAATGAAGCTTTATAGTAAAAGAAAGAGTTAAAAACACATACTTCAACTAGACCTTATTACGTGTGTATATGGGGGGAACAAAATAAGCTTTAAAGAGTTCAGACCTCATACTATATTTTACCATTCAATAGAAAAGTTCTATATTTAAAAATTTCCTTAAATTTTCGATCAATTATACTATATATAGCTATATTACTTGGAATTATACATATAAAATTATTATATTTAATTATTTTTCTAACATAAATAAATACTTATTTTAAAAAATAAGAATAATAAGTGCAATATACTTAAACTGCTAATTAATTGAATTAAAATATTTAATTATTCTATACTAATTTAATTTATGATTGAACATAAAATATTTAATTTTATTTTAATCTTATACAATATTATTAATGAAATTAATTTTTTAAAAATATATTTTATATTAAATAAATGTGCTATTTTAATCGTAAAAATTTAATATCGTAAAAAATTAATATCGTAAAAAATTAATATCGTAAAAAATTAAATACTACTCTTTTTAAAATAATAATTAAAATATAGTGTAAAAATTAAAATTTAGTGTGAATTATTTAAATGTGCTATATTACTTAATGACTGCAGTTCAAATTAAAATTAAATAGAAATTTAATAATAAATTTAAATATTTATTTTTTTTAATTGGTATGAAAAGAATATTTAATTTTATTCATTATTAAGAGATTAATTATTAAAAAAAATTTTTGAATTAAAAATAACTTGAATTTAAAATATAATTATTACAACTTCAAATAATTGTGCAATATTATATTTTTTAAAACAATTATTAATTAAATAAACATTAATTTTTTATAAATGAAAAATGTAAGTTATTTTGAATAAAATATATAATTAAATAATATTTATTTTATAGAATTTTTGCGTATTATAATATTGTATAGTACAATCCAATTTGACCATATTGGGTTAAACCACTTACTTTCTTGCAAATGTTCGTTTTTATAATTATAGAACGTAAACGTTCTGTAATACAGCCAATTTTATAGTTAATTTAACTAAAAATCAAATTTACGGACTATATTTGAATGAAAATATCTATGAAGTAATTATTATCACAACCTTCATCGCAAGTTTTAAAAAAATTATGTTATTCAAGTTAGGATACGGCAACCGACTTTCGAAAGTGGTGTATAAATATGATTAGTTTTACAAATACTGATAGTTGAACAACTTTAATAAGTTCATGTTAAACCCGTTAAATGGTAATTAATTTTTGATTGATTTCCATCCGATCGTAGTAGAGAATATTTCGTACATGAGTAAAAATTTTTAAATCCTAATTTTAATTATTTTATAATTATGTTACATAAATAAGTATGTATATATCACATAATAGTTTTTCTGAGTGTAGTGTAGTCTTTAGAACTGATTTGATTTAATGCTCTGTTTAAACTTATCATAAGCTCAATTAGTTTAATCAGAACAATTTCAAATTATTATAAGCTTTAAATAAACCTTTTAAATATATTTAGTAGTTTTAGAATATTTTTGATTTTACTAGTAAAAAACTTATGTCTTAATATTAAAAAAAATATATTGTGCCAAAGTTTAATAATCAAATTAGGATTTAATATTTTACTCGCATGTGTAATCAATTAAAGTATTTTATATTTCATGTGCATATTATTCAAATATCAAATTGGAAAAAATAATATGTGAAAATAATAAATATCCTGATTCTATATATCAATTATAACCTGACCGATGGTGTAGTAATTATTGCATTGGTCCTTTAACAGAAGAGTCTCGGGTTCAAAGTCCTAAACTCAATGACGTAAGAAACTGGTGTTCATGATTCTACAATATCGTGCGCTAGCCTTATTCTTCTTCCAGGTGCGAAGTAGGAATAAAAAAAAAATATGCCAATTATACAAAATTTACATTATGTTTTTGAATACTCGTAATTAAAACAAAGTTTCTAATACTTATGAATCATTTTTAAAGAATTTCAATATAAAAACAAAATTTTATATGGACACTAAAAATGGGTATATATAAAAAGACCCTTTAACAATAAATGCTATACATTTTAATTATATAATACTTACTTGTATATGAATGCATGTCAGTATTATATATTAACAATTTAATTCCCATTCAAAAAAAAATCCACATACATATGTATATATATGTGAAAAAAAAAACAATAAAAATAATTAAAATAATAAAAATGAAAAAAAGAAAGGAAGAGCCATGGCGTCAATTTGAGGCTGGACTCTTCTTCTTTTGGGTTAAAAAATATTTTAAATACCTACATGTAATTTACACGCATACGGACGGCAATATTTTGTGACTCTTCTTTTCTTTTTTATTATGTTTTTCTTTTATTTTATTCGAGACTAATAAATTTTATCAACTATCTCATTTCTTCTACTTCTTTTTTGGATTTTAAGATGTGGCCTTATTGTTGTACATCTCTTCCTTTTTTTATCGATTCAATCTTGAAATCTTTGTGACAAAAAAATAAAAATTTTTCCTCTTCTTTTGTTTTTTTTTGTTTTTGAGTGTAATATAAATGTAAAACTATGGCATTTTTCTATTTATATTGTTGTTATGAATTTTATGCCCCCAAAAAACGTTTCTATAAAATTCATTGACAAATTCATATTAAGTTTTTGTTTTTTAATATTTTGTACCTTTTTACTTTTTATTTTTTTTTTTTTAAAACAGAATGATTGTGAATATTTTGAATTTTTTTTTATCAAATAGTCTATCTGACCTTAAATAGTTTCTTCATACACAGCCTAGCTATGACATTCCTTTTTTTTGTAGTTAAGAATCCTAATATAAAATTTCATGAGCCCTAAAAACGTAAAAAACTAGAATAGTAATATTTTTTTTTTTGAATGGAATTTCATTAATATTTTTGTTATTTTTATTTTACATGTGAGTTCTTCTCGCTTTATATGGTTCATTATTACCAACATAGACGCATACACAATATCTTTTCTTAATATCGCGTCACCGTCATTAAATTAGATATAGTTATTGATTAAATTAAAAATAATAGTTTCTGTTATCTTTTATCCTTAAATATTTATTGGAAAATTGTCCTTTTAGAACGCAAAAAAAAAATTAAGTGAAAAAATTGGAAAGAGTAAAAGAGAACGAAATATTAAACGAATAGAATTTAGAATAAAAATATTTAGGTTGTAGGAAGAGTAAAAGAAACAAAAAGAAAAAACAAAGATGTAAAGCGCCACTGAAATTTCAATTAGAAAAAGGAAAAAAATAGTGTTTTTTTTTTTTTTGACTTTTTTAAATTAAGACACGCGCCTATAATTAGAACAGAACAGAGGTTTTAATTTGTGTTTATAGATTTTAGTATAATTTTATTTTTGATGAGTTTTCGTTTCTTTTTGTTTTGAATTAGAAATTTGTAGGCATAATATTACAAGGAAGGGAGAAATTTTATGCTTTTTTGTAGAAATTATTGAAAATTTGAACAAAATTAGGGGTTTTTTTAAATAAAGACAAAAAAAAATGGAGAATTTTTTCTAGACAATGTTTTTTAAGTAGACCATGTTTTATTTAAAAAAAAAATTTATATTAATGTGTTTATTGAAAATTTTTGTTTTATGTGAATATCAATAAATAATTGAGGGGTTAAATGTAAAACTTTATAATAACAATTTTTGGGAAGTCCTCTTCTAACTTTGGAAGCAAATTAATATAGAACAAAGTATAATGAAGAATTTCTACATGAGCTAGCACAAAGTAAATTAATAATACCAATTTATAAAAGTGGAAATATCAGCAATGCCAGTAATTTCAAACCTATACCACTATATTATAGAATTTGGAACAACGATTTCAACTGTAGCTATTACACAAATCACTGTAATTAACAAGTTAATTAGTAATGCAGTACAGGTTTCATTCATATTGAACTATTTAGCATGATCTCAATCAACAAAAAATCGACTTTTCGTCAAAAAATTTTTCAACCTGTCGGAAGTTCTTTGATTCTAATGACAGAAATATTCTCCTTATAGAATTCTTTGCAACAGCGGGAAGTGCCTATATAGTACAAGAAATTCTTCACATTTACGGAAATACGGTTCAGAAAAGAGTACTATTTGTAATTTAGTGATTTGTGTTAATTTTTATATTTTTACATTATTTTAATAGTTTCTGAGTTTTAGACAATATTCAAAACATTTACTTTTTTAAATAGATTAGATTTGTAGACGACATTTATTTACTAGAATTAAAATTAAAATTTCATCCAGAAATAATGCAAATAATTCAAAATTAATAATTTATAAAATTAATTTAAATTTTTTTTTTCTCATATTTTCTGAAAATACCTGATAGAATTTATTCAATTTCTGATGAAGAGTTTAAAAGTTTATTTATTGCTTTAATTATAGGGCAATGATTCACTTGTTTTCACTTTTTTTCTTTATTTTTTATAACAAATATAAAAAATATTATTGTGAAAATTATTTAAAATTGTTCTTGTGTATATAAATATGAATGTATGTACACATATATTTTCCCTCGTTTTTTTTCTCTTTGTTCGTGTACGCCATTTTAGATTTATTTTTTTTTTCCAAAATCAATGAAACAATGGCACTTCAAAAATTCACTTAATATTTTCTTTTTTTTTTTTATTTTTTTTTTCTTATAAATTGAAGTAATGATGAAATTTTACTTTTTTTTTACAAAAAATACACTTGCAGATATTTTTGAACAAAAAAAAAACATGTTTGTGTATGTATATGTATAAAGCTTTGTATGTACATTCTTAATTGTTCATATTGAATGTTTGTATGTAGGCATGGCTGTATTAATTGCGCAATTTATTTATTTATTTTTCTTTTTATTTTAATTTAGTACCTATATGTACAGTTATTTTTCATAAAATATTTTTTATTTTCGCGCCATCGTATAATTTTTTGTTTTGTGTTTTTGGTTTTTGCTGCTCCTTTAATTTTTTTTTTCTGTTCCTCTTTTATTATAACAAAATGTTGCAATGATTGTTAATTATTGTTTTTATGATTTCTAATAAAAAAAAAAAAAAAAACAAAAATAACGTTGAAGTGGTGGTTTTAATTTTATTTTGCTTTGCTACCTAGGCATATGCTGTCATGATAAGAATTCATTCGAATAATTCTATTAAAAAAAAAAAAAATTATTTTATATATTTTTAGAAGAATTAATTTCTTGATAACGATAACCTTAAGACTAAACCATTTTATAAATTATTTGTGTGTCAGAAATATTTTTCAAGTCATATGCTGCTTAAAATTTTTTATATCCTCTATATGTGCGCAATATGTGAATGCTACGCTATGCAATTTGTTAACAATATTTCTGTATATCGCAAAGAATTCCCAATTTTTTGCTACAAATGGTTCGATTATTACTCAAATTACACGAACACTATACGCAAATGCTGAACGAATGTTGTAATATGTAAATAAATGCGATTTTAATTAATTTTTGAAAATAATTCTCACATAGAGTTTCTAAGCATCTCATAAGAGAAAAAGCAAGCATACGAGTACATACGACATGAGCATAATAACATGTTGTAATGAATAACTTTGTACTTTGTCAGATTTCGCAGAGAAAATAATATACAAGCATTAAGCTACATAATTTTAGCGACCGAGTTGATAAATCTATATAAAACGTGAAAATAATTGCTTGTCAAATTAAGATGATTTGTTGTTGATAGCTAGTAGCCGGACGGTGTTTTGTTCTGCGGCTATTTGAGCTTCTTTGTTTTTGTTTAAATATTGTAGTAATTTTCTCTTATCACTTCTTGCCATTTTTTTAATTCTTTTACATATTAA